TGTGCTGGTTGGGCGACATAACAGGTTACCGCTACTGTTTATTCCAAAAACATTGTGCGTCTTTCGGAATTAAATTCTAAAAATATCACGTAAATTTCGTTACAATTTCTCAGAAACGATCATTGCGGGAAAATTGTGTGCTGGGACTAAGATTTTTTAAGGATCGATGCGATAAAACGATAGTTCGAGGAACGATAGAAGCGGGAAAATGTAACATTATTTTATATGGGATGTATTCGGGACCGAACAAAACGGACGATGCATCCGGGAAAACGATAGTTCCGGGAACGATGGATAGAGGTTTCACTGTATAAGCAAAAATGGTCTTATGATATCTTGTCCATAAGTCTGACCATAGATGTGTCTGCTTTACAATTGATTCTTGTATCAATAGATTGATTATCATGGAACATGGTATGAATATCATGCCACTAGAGATCACGTTGCACTGCAAACTTTTTGGTGGCAGCACTAGCGTCCCTCAATGAAGGGTCTTAAAATTTTGTGTGGTGTTATATTTTAAGCAAAAATGTAGAATATGAAACAATATCAATATGGTGATAACTGGTAAGACATCGAAGTCAGGCATGTGAAAATTTGTATGGCAATAGATCACAGACATATTTTCGCTTTGTGTATTATTTATTTTTGAATTTGAATGTTACTGTCACTGTTACAATTTATCTGACAAAGGAATGCATACAGCCTCTTCATGGACTAATGATTTGTTGTTAATTGTGGTCTTCACCATTGAGAGAACCTCATCTCAGATAATAATTTGTTGCCAGGTGACCTAATCTGATAAGACCTCAAGTGCTCAAGTACTAATGAAAGCAAACATTACCTCCCTTCATGAAAATGTGCTTCCTGCTCAGATAGATGTAACTTATTTAAAGTGAAGGATATCGGAAATGGATAAAGTGAAGATCTGTTTTTAATTCATGAACATACATGTATGTTGGACAGTCTAACTTCAGTCACTTTTCCTCATCAGAGGTTTTCCTTTTGAAACTTGCCTGTAATTATGCTGAGGCCATAGAAATTGAACACTAGCACAGGAAGATCTGAAATTTGTTAGTCTTACTTGAAGAAGTAAAATGCATATCCCTCTCAAAGGGGTAAAGGTTTTCTAAATCTGTTGTTGAGGAAATGAATCTAATTTACATGTTACAGATATTTGCAAGCACCTTGTACATGGCCAGCAAGAGGATGCTCATGAGTTCATGCGATACCTTTTAGAAAGCATGGAGGGAGCCTACCTCACGCGCTACAAAGGAAGCAAGTATGTATATCGTATTCCTTTTGCAGGCTTTAACCTTAATAATCAAAACCTGATGATGAAGTCAGTTGTGTAGGTGAAAATTCCTTGTTTATGTTTGAGTACTATACTGTTTTCTTATTTTAGTAAGTTTGCTACTAGGCTTTATCCCTTTTGTGGATTTTATAAGTGATAAATATTTTAACTTCATGCCAATTCTGACACATTTACTGCAGATTGAAGTTGATATGTTCAAAGAAAGAGCTTTGCTCTCATGCCAGATGTGGCCAGAAGTTAATAGGAAATATGTCAAGGTACATGAAAATGAGAGAAGACATCATTTAGTACACTAAGGACACAATACAGGATGTGTACAAAGTTAAGTTTGTGTAGAAATTGTTCCATTAACTCTTTTTGTAGGAATTGTTTTCTCTCCTGTCACTTTATCTATGTTACGAGGAAACCCCCTTCCATGGAAATTTCAAAGGAAATATTTCTAGCTACGACTATAGACCCACTTTGTTCAGTTTACTTTTAGAATTGTCATAGTGCGGCGGCCTGCTCACATGCGAGTGTTTGTGTTCCAAAGTGAACATCGAGTGCAGGCAGCTATTTTATCAAGATAATTTATTGGGTGATATCACAAAATTCACAAATAAAAAACTGGATAAAATTATAGAAAATTATTCTAGGCAAAGAGACTGCTTAGAAACTTCAAACAATGAAATCAAAGCTTCAATTGGACTTTTATACAATGTTTTAACATTTTATAAGTCTCTTAATCGTAACTCCATAAATAAATTAAAAGTCAGTAATAGTCTGATTAAGTATTTGCTCAATTGATGGGTTGTGGCGCGGCGCTCACACGTGAGTCGGGACATTCCAATGGTGGACGCAAGCGCTGGAGGGTTAAAGAAACCTGTTTTAAATGCATTTGCATGCTGGTCTTTTGTTAAACTTATCTGTATTATAAACTGATCTGCATTGTCTGATTGTATGTTTCAACACTGGTATCTAAGAGTGACTAATAGTTTTCTAAAAGTTGTTGTTTGTTTGAATGTAGGTACAATGTATATTTATTTTTAAATTTATTTATGATTAATATTTTTCCTTCCCTTTGTAGCACCTGATAGTTTGAAACAAGGTTACAAGAAGGAGTGTGGTATGATGGGGTAGCTCAGTCAGTATAGTGACTGACCACGGACTGGATGACTGGGTTATTTGAATAAAAATTTTCTTGGATATTATCCATCGTCTAGTCAATAAAATATAAAACATAAAACGATGTTTTGGAGATGGGGCTCTATCTCCGTCTTCAGGTTCCTACTCAGTTGGGCCCACTAGATAGAGCTATTCCCTATCTCCAGACAAAGTAAAAAGTGAAAGGCCGGAATACAATAACATCACCACACCATCCATCCGTGTTATTGTATTCCGGCCTTTCACTTTTTACTTTGTCCGGAGATAGGAAATAGCTCTATCTAGTGGGCCCAACTGAGTAGGAACCTGAAGACAGAGATAGAGCCCCATCTCCGAAACGTCGTTTTACGTTTTATATTTTATTGAATAGACGATGGATAATATCCAAGAAAATTTTTATTCAAATGACTCATCACCATCGTGAAGAACTTTTAGATTTGGATGACTGGGGTTTGATCCCCAACAGGGTCAGAGAATTTTTCATCTGGCCTCTGCATGAAGACTGGCTCTGGAGCCCATGTAGCCTCCTATCAAATGGGTACCAGGGTAATTTCCCGGGGATAAAGTGCGGCCAGGGCATGATGCTGACCACTCACTCCTTTCTAGTGCGGAGGTTAAGAATGAGTAGTACCTATAAATTCTCTCCCCTCAACCACCTACATGGCATATAGCTTGACAGCTTTACTTTACTTATTTTATATATCATCTACAGAATTACAATGCAGTACATGAATTTTAAAACATTTATTAATTTAATTTAAGTTAAATGTGCCTGCTTGAAATAAATTATAATAAGTGTAAACATATTGGTTTAAAATTGCACTGTCTTGGTAAAATTCTTGCAACATTGGAATAATTAGATGAACAACTATTTTCATGAAGCAAACTACTTTCTGGACATTATCCATCATCCCAAATTTAATAAAACATGATGCTTAGGAGACTGGAATCTATCTCCATCAGATAAAAACTTACTCTATTGGGCCCATTCGATACATCTAGTCCCTATCTCCAGACAACAGCAGCTATATCGATTGAACCCAACAGAGATAGATTCCAGTCTCTGAAACATCGCGTTTTGTTACATCTGGGATGATGGATAATGTCCAGAAAGTAGTTTGCTTCAACAATGCACCACCATCAGAAACCTTCAGAATTAAGCCATTTGCATCATCATGATTCTTTGGATTTACAGTTCTGTGCTAGTATCTGGCTAGAACTTAAATCCAGACTACTGTTTGAGCACCACCATTAATCAAACATTCACAGTTCACTGAAGCAGTTAGTTTGTATGAGTTATGTAACAAACAACTTGTCAGTGCTGTTGACTTGTTTTATCATTCTGAGTATCCTGTCTTTATGTAATTCCTTTCCAAGGATTATGTTGAAAATGTTCTTATCTGGGCTCTGTTATACTGATGCTAGGCTGATGGGAAGATTTTAAAATAAACTTTATTCTTTTTGTGTGTAATAGATTTGGATGTAATGAATTTAAGTAAGAGTATGTTTTCTTTCTTCCTCAGGCTGGACAGTTACAGCAGGGAAACAACCCCGATAAACCAGATATTTGGTGGTTATATTAGAACAGAAGGTATGGCAAGACCTGAGCAATGATTTAAATTGATATATGTATATTGCTAGTTTTTAAAGAGGAGATTTTCTCTGCAGATACATAACAATACATAAAGAGGATATATTGCTAGAAAGGGGGAATAATGGATGTTGAAATGAGGATGAACATTTTGTTTTAACTGAAGTTTTTCTTTTGTTAATTCAGGATACCTGGTTAGCATAAAGTAAACTTAGAAAGTGTATAAAGTGAAGCTTTTGTGGTGACTGAAGTTGATGAAAGACTCTCGCTACAAGCCTTGTCAGGTGGCTGAATGGTGAATACACCATATCCTGTGCCAACAAAGCAACAGACGGGCCACCAGCAACACCATGCTACTACCTGCCATCCATTGCCAGTTCCCATCGGCGAGCACGCTACAGAGGACCAGTTTGTTACGCATCAGCCCTGAGATTGAGAGCAGAGATGGCTCTCAAAACGTTTGCACAGGATATGGTGTATTCACCATTCAGCCACCTGATGCGGCTTGTAGCCCGAGAGTCTTTCATCAAACTTAGAAAGTGTTGTTTCTCCCTTTATCACAACTGAGTACATTGCTTCCCCACTCAGATAAGAAATATTGTTTGTAAGCACTTTTAATGTTAAGAAGAAATAAACTTGGTGTATTTTACCTTAAATATATAGAGCCTTAAAGCCTTGGTGTGTCATTGCAGTGGCATGCCTGCAGTGTGGGGGTATATCTACAACATTCCAACACTGTCAGGACTTGCTTCTGGATATTCGACGTGCGTCCACATTAGATGATGCTTTAACATCCTACTTCTGCAACGAACGTCTGGATGGGGACGATGCTTATTGCTGTGAGCGATGTAACAAAAAAGTTGCGGCCACAAAGAAGTTTTCTTTGGAAAAACCTCCGCAAGTTTTGTGCATACAATTCAAGAGGTGTGTTATTTTAATTTTAGAAATCATACACTTTTACAACTGAATGTTTTGAAAGGTAAATTAAAAAGTATCAATGAATGAGATTCAAACCTGGGTAGCTTGATTTCTGCACGAGTCAGTCTCAGTGCACTGTGTATTATGTTCTCTAGATTCAGATAACTAAAATCTCTTGGAGGTTTTGTTGAAATATTCAAAGAGAATATTTTCATCTAGTGAAACATTTTCTTGTGTATAGAGAAACCCCACATTTCACAAAGGAAATGCAGTGTGTTCTTTTCTTCATTCCCTTTCAACTTACTGATGTCATAATTAACACTTAACTTTGCAACATTCAGTACAGCCATCTACCAAGAAGTAAATAACTACAACATTTCAAAAGCAATTTCCTGCACTCCTCCAGGCTGATGTGGGAACTGCTTTGTAAAGTAGATAGTGGTTGATGGATACATAATTTTTATGCCATACCACATGAATATGGTGGACATTCATTAAAATGCATTTTCTAGACAATTGCCACGGATCACTCAATATTACTTGCATCCAGCATAACTGATATATATATTTTAATTTCTGTCATGGCTTTACACATAGATGTACAGCTTTCTTTATGTATGGGTTTTGAATGACACAATAATTTGATGTCATTTAGATTTTTTCCATGGTTAACACAACTTTCATATCGTTTGTCTTGTGAAAATTATACCAACAAAATTTGACTCCAAACACTGAAGAGGAAAGCAGTGATTATGGGCATGAAGTTATAGTGTGCCTAATAATAGTAATATGAAATTAGATGCTGGGAATAAATTTGTTGATAAGTGTTTCACAGAAGTTCCCTTTGATGGTTCTTTGCTCTTGCTTGCTTATTTAGTAAGTAACACTCTTTGTTTTCTTACAGGTTCAGCATCTTAGGAGGAAAGATCAACAAACATGTTTCATTTTCCCAAAGACTGGATCTTACAAGGTTTCTTTGTTCTCAGTCAGCTTACCATGGCCCTGTACCACTTACGTATCATCTAGTTGCATTGGTTACACACGTTGGTTCATCAGTCCATTGTGGGCACTATACTGCAGTGGCAGAAACTTCTACTGGTCTTTACTATGAGTTTGATGACAAGTCAGTGCGTCCCATCTCATTGTCAGCAGTTCTAGACACTAATGCGTATATTATGCTGTATGAGTGTGAACCACGTGTGGAACCTAAAATTTCATCATCGTCACAGCAGAGTGTAGCATCTGCTACGGCCACCACAGCAACTTGTGCTGTCAATGGACAGAAATCTGACATGACAGTTCAGGGACAACCTATACATGGACCTGTAGCAATTTCAGTGAATCACAGGAATGGACGTGACATGAATTATGACAAGCAAGGCTCTGATTCAGATTCTAGTGGTAACGTTGGTGCTTTGCCTCTACCACCTACAAAAGATAGGTAAGTATTCCTCTTTCTATGATTTTTATTATTGTGGATATAGACAAATCATTAGTTGTATTGAGGTGTGTGGTTGCAAATATTATTGTCTGAATGAAAAGGGGTTTATACATATTTGTAAGGAAATTGGGCGGTTGTCTGATTGCAGGTGTGTGGGTTGAAATGGAATGTTAGGGATACCACATATTTATCATTCTCCATTATTGCATAAACATATGCTGTGTGCTGTTTATAAAAGTTATTTTCTCGTAGCTTACAGATTGATTTTCAGTATTTATTAAAAAATGAAAGAATAAGTAATTTTACTTGATAATACTACAGTAATAGAGCTCCAATCAAATTGCAGGAATTCCTTCCAGAGGTTGCAGTTTATGATGTCTGTCTTTATATGCTTTTTTAAAGTTTATTGACTGTGTCACAGTAGGGTGCTTCCAAATTGCAGTTAAAGCCTGGCAAGCAGCCGTACATTACAGGGGTCGGTTTAAATCCCCTATTTTCATGGTTAATATGGTTCAAATGTTGCAGTGTTAAAATATGATGGTGTAAAGTAACGTCAAGTACGTTTTGGTGTCTCATACATTTACAACCAATTTTTACATACATCATTATTACATTCCATGGATCCATAAGTTGATGTAGAATAACTTTTAATAATACAATACATGTTATATAGTATGATTCATACTATTATGAAATTTCACAAATGGACAAAGGTTGATATAATTAGTGATTTGTTACAATGCTGCCAACCCTTGTAGACAAATTATGCTACCCTTTTATATTACATGAAGACAAGAAAACCATAATGAACATTTTGACCTCTCTGTGAACATTAGAAACTCATCAGCTGAGTGAAAGGATGTTTAAGTATCTTTCTAATGCTACTTTAAACAGCTATGGCCAGCCCATTTACATGCATTGCTCTAGATTGCCAGATTTCTCCAGTTATTGTTGATAATACACCCATTTCTTTAAATAGGGGCAGGACCCTTATTCTTTCTGAAATCATCCTTTAATCAAACCTCAAACCCAGTACTTTCATAGTTGGCTGCAACTTTGCAAAACAGTCCTTTCCACTCTTTCTTCTTTATTTCACACCATTATAGCAGAACTATGTACAACCCAATATAGTATTTATTTCACTCTTATATTTTTAAGTATTCTTTAGTGGCCTCTTCTGTCAGAACACATCATGCACCATTCATAATCGTAGGACTGCCATGGTGTGGTGACAAGGGACATGCTTAACATGTTGAAGCTAATGTTAGCCTCATTTTACATTATACTTCAAACAAATGGGCTCCCTTTCTTAGATGAACGATTCATTATGATACAAGAATATCTGAAACATCACATATTACTGAATTTATAGTTTTGTTTAACATTTATATTCCAAAGGCAGTTTTATATGGGCAGATGTTTTTCGACATATCAGGCCTCCAAAAACATATCAGTCAGTAGTACTGAAGTTTTCAATGTTTTAATGGGTTATTTGTATATAGCAGTTTAAACACTGAATTTGTGCAGTGGTATTACCAAGTAACAATGAGTTTTGCTGCCTAGGTTTCATTAGTCGCGCCTGCCTTTCTTCGTAGAGTATGCATAGTGTCCATAAGTAGAAGAAATGATTGCACTGACTTCACAACATGCTCACTGCCAGTGGCTGTTGTGTGAAGTCTTCAGGATTTCTGTTCAAAGTGCAAGCTGGTATTACAGTATTTACATTGTTTGTAATTCCCCCCCCCCCCTTCCCCCACTCATCATAAGAGTTCTAGTCTAACAGAACTCATCTGTACTCATTGTGAGGAATGTATGTTGTTGTGAGATTGTTTGCTGGTTGTGATGTAAAATCACTGGATAGACAGTGGTTGCTATTATCATATAAATTTGTGTTATTGTCTAGATAATTAGCAGCCTTATAGCAGTTTACTTTAAGCATGCTCTGGAGATCAGTTCTTTCATTATGTTAGTATATATTTGATTTATATTGCCAGCTTTTCATCTTTAATGATAATAATAATAATAATAAATGTATAATTTTAATTTAGGTTTTATCTTTCAGCAAAATGAGGCCTATTTTGAAACTAGTGTTCTTGAAGTACGTCTGAACTTGTGTCAGTAAATATGTATTGATTAATTATTACAGGTTCTCTGAACAGAGGCTAATGAACAGTAGAAGAAAAATTTCTGCCACTTAAAATTTGTTTAGTTTAAATTTTTACCAAAGTAGGTTGAATGTTTTTTTAAAGTTTAGTTTTATCTGAGATTTCAGTCAGTATGCACATCTTTGCTTGCATGGTTGAAATTTATTGCATGCACATTGTAAATTCTCCAAAGTCCCTTCTGATAGCCTCTGTCACAATCAATTCTGATTTCTTGAAACTCCTAATTGACTGCTTGTATGTATAAGAATGAATTTTGTTTCAGTATTATATTGTAAGTTAAGAAAAAACTAAATTGTAGATATGTAGAATTGATTGGTATTTTTCAGATTAATATGAATATATGATGTAAGATTTGAGGTTTTCACAGCGGTGAGTATGAAGATTTCTGTCTTCTGGGTTGTTGCGCTGTGTAGTCTGGTCGAAGTTAACCAACGTTTCAGTATGACCTCTGAAACGTTGGTTAACATCGACCAGACTATACAGCTCAACAACCCAAAAGACAAATCTTCATGAATATATGAATTTAATAGCAGGATCTTATTGTGAATCCAAACACTGAATTCTGAGCTTGTAAAATTTATTGCTATTGTTGGTATCCCTAATGGAATATTGTTTGTTACCTTGGAGTGTGTGAGGATGGAGCAGCAGGAACAAGTACAGGTACTCCCCAATTTATGTGACAGTCATATTTCAAAAAAAATTTGCAGAGGGTGAAATCGTATGAATCAAAACAGAAAATCCTTTCTCCATTCGTATTCCTGTTCTGCCACCCATACAGTATTCTGCCTCTCCATCCCCCCTGCTGTACTTGATCATCCAACAAGCAATTTACATTAAGGTGAGCACTGTTAATTTAAATCATTCCAAATTAGGTGAGTGCATTAAAATGAAATCACATTTTTGAAACACTCATATAATGAGGAATACCTGTACTGATATTTTGGTGGAGGAGAGCAGTGCATTAGTTGTAATTGATAGCTTACTATTGGGGAGATTGGAATCAAAGGCTGAGGCTGGTAGACAGGATCTTTTTGAACAGTCTAATGACATGATAGCAGGGTGTCTACTTGAGTGAAAGATATGTCTGGATAAAATGTTAACAGATACAGTGAGTTCAGTTTGAATTGCTCTATTATTGCAACTGACCTACTTGTAAAATATGTTTTATTGGTGCACACCATGATTCTGTGAGCAGAAACACTATGGATGGCAAGAAAGGACTTAGGATCCCAGATCACTTGACTATATATATTTTGCCATAGATGTCTAAGAATTCATGAGTTGCACTGTTAAGAAACTAATTGAACTTGTCAGAGAAATCCATTGTAAGAAGGGTTCATCTATCATGGGAACTGATACATTGTAGACTTAATACCCACTGACAGGCAGTAAGATAATAGTAATACTTAAGTACAGTGAATTGTGGCTCAGAACTGACACATAGAACTGATGTCATTACAAAGAATTAAATGAGAACTTTGTTATCCATTGCCATAAAACCAAAACTGTACAAAAAACAACAATTACAAAGATACCTAGGGAGATCCAGAATTTTAGTTTTGATTTCGTAGACACCCTGAATGTTTTTGCAGGGACCGTGTTGTGTTTGGCTTGCACCAGCGGGCTGCATCACCTGCACTACCACGATTAGTGATGCACATAAAGAATGGCAAAATATATCACCCGCCACCTCAGCCTTCTCCTCAACTACAGGAACCAAGTGTGTCAACTGCAGCCAGCTCAACTGCAAGTCTTGTACCATACTGCGAGTCAGGCGAAGATGAATCAAGTTCAGGCGACTCAGAGGCAGCACCACTTTGCTCATTGGATATGCCTAGCCTTGATGAAGAGAACCCTTCCACCCCACACAACAAACCTGTGCTTGTCTGTAAGAAGACTCCAACAAAGAACAACTCAAAAGGGAACTTCAACTCATTTGCAGGAATTCCTACCAGTCGAGAGATGATACCATCATTGACATCTGGTAGCAATCAAAATCCTGCAGCTAATAACAAAAGTCCACAAGCCGAAGACATTTCTGTTCAGAACAGTACTGGCGTTGTGTCACACAATACCAACACCGATCAAGATGAAGGCTGTTCTGTCAGCAAGAGTAGTTCTGTGTTACCTGGTAAAAGCATTTCTGAGAGTTCACTTAGTGGAAATGGTGTAGAAAGTATAGAGTCTCAGGGAGCATGTAATGGCATGCTGGACAACCAAGGAAATGAAGTTAGGCCTACAGTCAGAAGTACAATTCCAAAAGTTAGGCAAAGCATGGACTTGGTTTCCAACAAAGTAGTAACTGACTGCAGTACAACAGTGAATCTCCATGTGAATTTATCTTTTCCTACAATCCGTGGAAAATCTAACACGTGTTGGCAAGTAACAGATTTGTTACTCCACAGTTTATCTGTAGCTCGTGAGAACAGTAGTGGCCGTAATACTGTGGCCAGTTCAACGACAGACTGGGCTGTGTCAGACGTAAGACAAAAGTTTAATCATTCTTCAACAAACATTAATAAACCAGTTGCTCTTAAGTTATCTTGCTCAAACAGTTGTTTAAACACAAGGGTTAATGAGAAGAAGCTGTTAGCAGATGAACCAGATGCCAGTGTAAATACACTCTGGAAATCTTACGTGGACAATGTGGCGCCAAAGTCTACGAGTGAGCAGAATCTTGTTAATGGTGACAGCATAACAATAATATATGAAACGAAGAAACGAAAGTACCTCGATGGTGTCACCAATTGTGAAGAGATGCAATCCTCTCAGAAGAAGAGAAGCAAGAATGTCAGAGATTCCAATATTGAAGAGCACGCGTCAAAACAGGAACGAGAGAAGAAACTAAAGAAGTTAAAGAAACATAAAAAGTGAGTTAAATTATAGTTTAATTTAATAAATCCATCCATAATGTTATGTCACATCATATGCACACCTCCTGTTCCTCTGCCACATTACTAACTTTGTACATTCATAACATTTTCAGCATTAAAAGTGCCAGTTGTAATAATGCTAAGTTCCTCTGCTGATCTAACACTAAGGTGGGATATGCTGCCAGTTGTTTGTGATCTAGTGCTTTACCTATTTTTATATTAATTTTCTCTTACCTTTAGGTATTAGTTTTAGCGATTCTGAAAGTTTTGTATGGAGATAGAACACTTTAATCCTTGTTTACTTAATCTTTGTTACCTGAAAGAAAAGTATTATGTATAGTATTATTGATTACTGTGGAAATTATTGAAGGATTTGTGTCTGAGGGGTGATGGACTTGAGACAATTTGTTCTTGCTTTTTTTACTATACTATTTATTTAAACAGAACTTTAATGATGTTTTTTCTTTCTCAAACAAAAATTATTATAGTAAAAAAAAGTCAATGTAAATGAATTGTATATGGTCATGTATAAAGTGAAGCTTTCTCACTGACCAAAGTTGATGTGTATGGTCATATTTAAGCACCATGTCATGAAGACTGGGGAGTGGAAATATAGATTCACATGTTTTTAACCTAGACACTAGATAAAGGTGAGTTAACAGCTTCATGTCCCAGCTGCTTTATTCCTGGGGTCAGGTCCCTCAGTATCCATTGGATAAGAGTCTGGGTGGACCCCAGAGCTAGTTTGGATGCGGTGGTAATGAGAGGAATCTCTGCCTAAGCCAGGAATTGAACCTTGTTAATGCAGCCTGTAGCCTAGTCACTATACTGATTGAGCTACCTCAGCTTCTTTATTGGATAGAGCATATGTTTCTTGCCTTATTTGGAACCATGTCTTTGATAGTCTGAACAGGTGGAAACTAGGTATAGTGTGTGGTAATATTGAGGATAATTGTGGTGTGCAGAGAAGAATAAGTATGTGTTTCAATAAACAGAAAATATAACTATAAATTATTTAAGATGACGTATTGGGCATTGGTGACGTATGAGAGTGAATTATAAAGTTCCAGGATTGGTTTCTTGTTGCCATTTGTGTGTAAGGCAGAAAGTCATACCAATCCTATTCAAAGTAGTGTCTTTATGCGTAATGCAGAGTTTGATTTGTGGAATGTATCGATCTAGCTCCGAAGTGGTTCTGTCGGTAAGATTCCTTGTTGTGAAACATGTACCTTTTAAGTGTCCATTGCATGATTTTGCATTTTTATTTATTTATTTATTTTGTGTTCGCTCCATGTTTATTGTGGATATTGAAGAGTTGGCTGTTTATTGACTGTATGATTGCCAGTTTTCAGCAATTTATTTTATGTTGCTTTTTTAAATGGCATTGAGATAAAGAATGAAATTCAGATCTGTTTATGTACCTGCATTTACACTTTGAGACTGTCTTGACAACTGGTAGCATATCATATGCTATTACACATGCATATTTATGAAGTTTACGTGATTGTTAAGGGCACCAATCATGATAGGCTGGTGTGATTTAATATATTATATCATTCTTTTATTGCTGTATGAACCCCTCTTAAATTATTGATAACTGTTTATGGAATTCAGTTTGTATTTTTTCTTTTAGAAACAGATATTAAAGTCATAGTAGAATTAATTTGCTTGACAGTGTTTGATATGTTTTTATTGTTAATGTACTGATAATATGATCGTTGGTTTGAACAGGAGAACAAAGTCTGCAAAGAGTGGCAGTGAGGGGCCTGAAACTGGTGGCAGTGGTGATGGAGGTGGGAAATACGAATGGGTGGAAAAAACTCACGAGACTCTTGGAATTAGTACTTCATATCAGGCGAAGACAAATGGGCTTTGCTGGGATGGGGCTCATAAATTTGATGTTACTACCCACTTGGCTCATCTATCACATCGAGGGTATGGTTCAGCTAGTGGTAAGTCATATGTTCTTACATGCAGAATTTTGTTCTTTATTCTTGTACAACACACACATAACAGTTGTTAAACTTTATTCCTCCACTGTCTTGGGAGCCATGATTTTGAGAATTTATTGTGGATTATTATAGTTTCTGCAACAAGGATTATATCAGTTTCTCCTTTTTTTACCGTATGAGAGGATTTTAGATGGAGATGTACCTGTATAACTCTGCCATGTATTGGTGGCATGTTGAATTACATTCAGATACTGTTTATTAATCTGTGCGACTGTAAATAAAAATAAAAAAGCTGTTTCCATGTTACACTGAATAAATCAGGGCTGTGTAGGAAGACGGGTATAATTTTTGTTTTAGGGATAAGGTTTAATTTGACACCATTGAAGCTAGATTATATCAAATAATTTTAGTTGTGTGCTTCATGTTATGTTGCATATATAGACAGCCTTATTTATTGTATGGCAGCACACGTTGCTGTCAATTGCATTTCCTTCACAGGTTTGGAGTGTCGCATTTTTATGCAACAACATTAACTTTAAATGTACAGCTAATGCTACATTCAGATTTTATGGTGAACGGATGAACAGTTTCCTGTACTTGTACAGCATGTATAATAGTTTTCCTTAGGGTACATTTTAAATATTATCTTGGTGCAAAGATTTGACGTCATCAGATTATAAAACTAGAACAAGACCTACTATTTTCAGTGAAAATCAAGACATTATTGACAAAGTCTTGCATTCGTTTGATTAATAAACGTAAAATGGAAGTTTTAAATATCCAATTAAAAGTTCAACAAAACATGCCATTGTATTTATTAGAGAATAGAAGCCATTATATGCAAAATAAGAAAAACACCAACATGGAAAGCACTGTCAGACAGAAACTAAAGTTGCCCAGTAAAATTAATTAAGTTTCATGGAGGTATACAGTTGAGAAGTTTATAGGAGATGGTTTAAAATTTAGGAAATATGATGTAGCACAGAGGGCAGTATAGTTGAGAACAGAGAAGAACGATGAACTAGACTTTAACAAGAAATAAATTGTATTCTTGTATGAGACATGAATTCACTTGATGTGCACATGCACTTAATAAGTATTGGGAAGATCATAAAAGAGATGATGATGTAAATAATGGTTGTGCTGATCAACATAAGATAATTATGCATGCTGATTCAGAAAGAGGGATTATTTCTGTAGCATATCTGATTTTTAAATCAAGACTGATATCAATTACCAACACAAAATAAATGTCATTCACTTCAAACTAATAAGTCTCCAGCTAGTAAAATTAATTTTATAAAAAGAAATTGTTACGTGGAGGTGATGCCTACACAAACACGTTTCTCACTTGAATTCATATCCATTACAGAGGGCTCTATAGGCTCTTGGTTACAGAAGATTCACTGCAGTTATCAGCTTTTCTGTGTGAAATTTCAGTTACAAATTGGTCTGGTGAACGCAGTCATATGGATAGAGAAGTTCAGCGGGATCGTAGAGAAGACAGAAAGCGGAACTATGACAATGACTACAATGAAGAGTTTGACAGAGGGAGGGTAAGTCACTGAATTGGTTATCTGATTCTTAAGAGTTATCAATGCATTGTCAAAACATGAATGTTATCACGTATTATGTTATTTGTTACAAACTTGGAAGTTGGATATTTTTAGTTCATGTTGAAGTTTTTACTGTAGTTTTTATATGCTGTGTGCTAGCTGCTTCAATGTTAATCAGAGCTCACTGTACATAATTTGTCTGCTTGATGAATCTAGAAGAGCTTTTACATTTTTATTATTTAAATTAAAGAAGTAATATAACAATGCATTGTTCACTGAAAGTTTTAATTAATTGCATTTGTTGTAAAAGCCATTTCTCACAAAACATGTTTAATGTTGTTTGATTGAGTATATAAACTCATGGGCTGCAAATGAATGTGATTCTCGTTTTTTCAGGTGAAGAAAGTTAAGCGCCATCATATAGACTCTCATCATAATAAGATGAAGTTCAATCCTTTCCAAGACTATCATAATTTCAAACGCCAGTGGGGGAATAATAACAGTGATGATTATTACAAGAAGTCCTATTACCATAAAGATTACAACCATTATAATACCTATCGTCCTCTTGCTGGCCGAAACAGTTGTTATCACAGTGGAAGTAAATACCGTAACCACTACAATAAGAAGAAACGGTGGACACGTTGATACTAATGTTTTCATTGGCAGTTATGTAGAGTTTAATTGCAGTTTCATTAAAATTAAATTGGAGTACAAATTTCATGACACTAGAGAAATTTGCGTGTGCTGTGAACAGACTTTTTTCTTTAATGGAATGACTACTGAACTTGTCAGATCTTTAACAAGTTTTTGCAGCATAATGTATTAGTGGATACCAGGTGATTTTTCCCCCTTTCTTTTCTTCAAATCATCATTTGCTGTCACATTCTGTGTGTGTGTTCAGTGTCCAAGAAAAAGAGCTGCTCAGTTGATTGCTAAAACGTTGTTGCAGTTTCATAGAAGGAGGCAGTTGAAGTATACTAAATTATAAAAGACTCTGTGGATATTTCTATATATTTATATGTATACTGAGGGAGGTCATGTGCAAGTGAACTCTGGTTGATTGATGTTTAGAACTCATAATAACATTCAATTAAATGTATTAAATATATTTACTTTTATTATTCCTTTTCTCTATATGGTAAAGGAGGTAATTGTAATCTCTGGTACAAATGTGAAATTATTAGTGCTTAGTGCACATAATGAATTTCATTAGTTATTTGTAGATACTTGTTTATCTACAGGATCCAATCATCATGGACTTAACACCCACGGGTGGTGCTGTTATGTTATTAAATAATATCTAATCAGAAACTGTGAATATTACTGAATAATATCAGTGATTTCCAAATCACCAGTCTGCAGAATGTAGTGATTGTGTAAAGATGTTGAAGCAGTGCAGTGTCTTCTGCTCCTGTTCTCAACTTATATGCTGTGGACAAACGAATTGTTTTTATCACTAATGAAAATGTTGATTTTTTCACCTTGAGGACAGCTCTTTTTTAATTTTATACTGGATGAATCATGTATCATGAAAAATAATAGTAATATGCAAGAAGACTTTTTGTGTTCTACTGAATTAAAGTGAAACGGTCTAATTCCAAACAAAATTATTTGATTTTTGTAAACATGGTTCGTGATACCTGGATCAGGATTAAGGTGCATACGTGTGTGTGTGTGTGTGTAGGTCATTGGGGGGGGGGAATCTTTATTTATTTTGGTTGTATGAACAAATGGTAGTTCAGGAATGGTGGTCATAACAGGATGCCCACATATCATTATACTTCCTCATTTTTAACACAAATATTGTATGATATTTTCCTAAGCATCTGTATTTGCTGCTGTTGTCCATTAGTGTGGTAATTCAGAGTCGTGTGTTACAGAGATTTCTGGATCCTGCAGTGAAGCACAAGGAACTTTAAGACCCATTTCATGAGCTGGCAGATACTGAAATGTATATAATTATTTATGTATAACTGTCAGACAATTTAATTACACATTTTCATAATCTCTGTGGATCTTATTGCATACAAGTGGAATAGATGAAGTCAGCATGTAATGTTTTGAACTTATGAAAACAGTAAAGGATTCTGATGGGGGAAGATAAAGCTCTCTATGTTCTCTTACTTTGGTGATCAGGATGTGATAGGCAAACTTTTGTCTTGTGAATGAATGTTCAAAATTATGTGAATGGTATATCCTGTATATTTTAAAGATTTGCCCTTCATACATTAGGAAAACAATGCTTGTTTCAAAATTTAATAAGTGTGGCAGCCTTTGTTAGTAAAATAAGAAAATCTTTAGGTTGCACATTGTTGGCTGAGATGATTAGGTAGAATTTAGCCTTTCAGTTTTCAAGCTAAAGCATGATGAATATTTTATTATGGCTTAAAATTCAAACTGAATTTGATGTATTTATGGTATACTGCATGACAAACCATTGCTGGATCACTGATTATACACATTTGCTCATGATGTAGCAACAGATAATTTTGGCAGTTTCTTGTACACAAGCACATTTTATATAAATAATATGATAAAGCACTTTTCAGATCTGTTCTGCACTGCTTTGTGGACATGTATCCATTCTGCTGCAGCAGCCGATTCACAGGTAACATTCTTCCAAAAAGAAATGCCACTATTTAGTGTAATAAATCAGTAGGAATGTTTTCTGTTTCTGCCATTCTGGATATCTCAGTTTCTGAAACAAAGCAGGCAAAATTTCCTGGATTACATTTTAATTTACAAGAATGCAATTTTACATGTGTAACCACATAATTCCATGTGTTAATTCTTTTATTTTAACCATATTTTTGTGTACATATCTTATAGCATATTTTAGCTTTGCAACACATTAGGCATCAAAATTCAGTTGTACATATTTGATTTTGCTGTGCTCATTTATGTTACTCTACAAGGTTGGACAATTATGCTGTGGTTATGTTGAAGAATAATCCATCATCAAATTTAAGTCTAAGCATAATGCAGTAGGACATTAGTGAAAGTGCATGTTTATGTCAATTGATAAAATAGAAATCATAACAATATGTTCTTTTTTATGCATATTAATGGCTTATAAGCTATTTAATTGTCAAAGAAAACAAACTGAGTTGAGAAAATCTGTTGCACGTTATTTCTTAGCACTACATTTTATTGTTGCTACATTGTATATTACAATTCATTACATGCCATTTCCCATAGGTGAAACAACTTGAAGATTTTAATTATAACTAGGTGCTCACAAAACATGTGGATTGAAAAAGGTATGTTTTGAAAACAAAAGGCATACACTTCCTTGGATATCTTCAGGCAATGTTTATATTTGCTTATGCATGCCCATATTTCACAGGATTGATCATATTGTCACAAGTGTAGAGAACACCAAACGATAGGGTTGTTGACTGTCCCAGACACTGGGAAAGAGATATTGCACATGCTGCTTTGGTAATAAAAATTTGGTTTGAAGATGTTATGTATTTTTTCACTAACTTAAATTGGCATTCATCTTTTGGGAAGAGATTCAAAAGCTCTTGAAGTAATGGGAGGGAGGGGGGATCTTGAAGGATATTTTTGAGAAGTGTGATACAAGTTGTAAGTGCAGTTTACTTCAGTATGTAACATGAGTTTCAAGGAACTACTTTAGCAATATTGTATTCACTGAAATTTTGTTGAGATTGTAATGGTGCCATTAATAGTGAGTACAATAATTCATAACATTTTCCATAAGTTTTAAGTTAAAATATTATTTCAATGATCCACACAGATTGGGCAATATCACTCATTGTAAGCTACATGTATGTTAGTGAGAGTGTAACTGATCTGCTGGCCTTAGAAGACCGTGCATTTGATGTGAAAAAGGTTAAATAAATATAGTTCTTATACCTCCAGCCAATAGCATGGTTACCCAATGTTACAGGTTCAAAGTGTTTTCCAAGGATTGACTAGCATATTTTTATTTTCTAATACATTGAGTTATTACCAGTTATTCTTTATAAAAAAGCAAATTTGTAACTCAGTATGCAAATATAACTTAAAAAGTCCATTTTGTAAATTCTT